AACGATGTGCAAATTCGGGGTTTCATACCCCCAGGACATCATTTACAATTATTACTCACCTCAATTTGGTCAAATCTCTAGCCCGCGACACCTTTGCCCCTCGAATCGGCCTCCACTCGCGTCGAATCTATCCAAAAATCAGAATCACAACGTCAAAATATGCTAAGGGAACAAAGCCCAAGCAAAAATAATCAATATACAACACAAATCCCAAAATTACCAAAATCTGACCCCCAGGCCCACACCTCGGAATTCGATAAAATTCACATCAGTAGATTCCTCATCTCCCCACGAGTTCATACATATCAAAAGTACCAAAATCCGACCACAAATGGTCCCTCAAATCTTTAAGTCCAGGTATCCAATGCCAAGCCCTAGTTTCCCCAATTTTAACGCTTAAATTCCATTAATTATAGCTCTAATCCGTGAAATAATACCATAGGAATGAGTTTTAGGTTCAAAATCCTTACCTTAATGAAGTTCCCTTGAAACCCTTACTTCAAAATCGTCCAAAAAGCTCCAAAGCCGATTTAAAAATGGTGGAATAGCTCAAAAATTGTGAAGGACACAATTTATATGTTCTGACCTAGGCATTTTCGCATCTGCAATACTGCTTCTACGGTCAAGACTACCGCATCTGCGGTCCTCACTTAAGTCCCATTTTCCGCATCTACGATGCACAAGCCGCACCTGCGCCATCGCAGGTGCAGTTCACCAACCGCTTTTATGGTCACAGCCTCTCAGCCACTTTCCGCTTCTGCGACCTCCCTTCTCGCATCTGCGGCATCGCACCTGCAGTCCCCAATTCGCAGGTGTGGAAATACCAGAAGCAGAAAATCTCCAGCTCACCAAAATTCCAAACTTCTCCGTCAACCACCCGAAATCACCCCGACGCCTCCGGGACCTCAACAAAAAGTATAAACATATCTCATAACCTTATTCAAACTTATACCAATCTTCAAAACACCTCAAACAACATCGAGTCAACCAAAACACATCAGATTCAAGCCTAAGTTTCCAAATTTTTTCGAATTACGCTTTTGATCAAACACCCAACCAAACCACGTCCGAATGATCTGAAATTTTGCACACACATCCCAAATGACACAACGGAACTACTACAACTCCTGAAATTCCATTCCGACCCCTATATCAAAATCTCACCTATCAACCGGAAAACGCCAAAAATCCATTTTCGCCAATTCAAGCCTAAATCTACTCTGGACCTCCAAAACTCATTCTGATCACGCTCCTAAATCCCAAATTACCTTTCGAAGCTATATGAAACCTCGGAACTCACACCTGAGCCTTCTAACACATAAGTCAACATCTGGTTGACTTTTTCCAACTTAAGCTTCCTTAAAAGAGACTAAGTGTCTCAAACCTTACCAAATCCTTTTTGAACCCGAGTCAACCAACCCGATCACATCTAGAACCGATAGATAAAGCAATAAGAATCAGAAATGGGGAAAACAGAGCGATAACTCATGAGACGACTGTCCGGGTCGTCACACTTTGTAGTTGAACTAGGCATTAACGCCTTCTCATTGATATTGGTATTCTTGGCATTATTTTTGGTAGTAGAAATCTTTATAGCCAACTGTTGATCTCCCTCGGAAACAAGAAAGTTGTTTTTTAGGTTTTCAATGATTAGGGGTTGTATTTGCATGTCATGTGGATGGGATAACGTATTAATTTTAAAGGCCAGTGAAGGGGATTGGTTTTTGGATACGTGGGGAATTGAATTGACCATTTGTTGATTAGTGTTCTGATAGCTTGCCAATTGTTTTTTATTAGGGGACGCATGCAAATTGGTATTATGCTTAATAATAGGTTTATCTGTGTATTGATGGATGTGTTTTAAATTATTTGGACTTTTATTAGATAGATTATTGGTTATTAGAGAGAGGATATGTGGATAGGGAAGGTGGGCTGGTGCGTTGGGGTAGTAGGGTTAGGGGTGACCATTGGTAGTAGGGTCATGTAGATTTTATTATTAAGATTATATTTATTAATAATAGAATTATTAGGGCTATTGGTGGTACTATCCAAAAATATGTCTTCTTCTTCAAGTGGCAGAAAGTGGTTTTTGTTTTAATATTGAGATTAGTGTGATCTCCTGACTTATACAGAGATATGGATGAGTTGGAAATTTGTTTCTTCCTGTACGCTAGTTTTTGTGAGGTTAGGAACTTATCTGATTTTGCTTCGAATATTTTGACGTTTATACCTATTAGTGGCATGTTATCCGACGTTTGTTGAAGTTTTTGTTGAGTCTTTATTTTTCCCTTTGTTGAAGGAGACTGTCTTCAAAACTTCTTCTTTGTCTTCATATGGTTGAGTTGTATTGTGGGAAGTCTCTAGCCTTGTCTCTTCTGTAGATTCTTTATGCTTAATATGGTTGCACTGTCTTGTGGGATGATCTAGGTGACCACAACTTTTGCACAGTAGGTTCTCACCTTCGTAGTTTTAGAGGCAATTCCACACATAAACGTGTATATCGACCACGCAGAGCTGCTGAGGTACATGCATCTATTTTCAGGAGCCTTCCTATTGTACTTCTAACTTTTTGAAGGATTTCTCCATCATAAAATTCGGTAGGGAATTGAGGTAGGCGAATCCAGATTGCAGTGAAAGATTGCTTCGCTTGTGATGCTACAAAGTTTGGCTCCCAGCATTGAACCGAGAGGAAGTATTCATAGATGAACCATGACCCATTTTGAAGGGAGTTACCCATGTTTTCTTCTTTGTTGAAGCGTACAATATAATAGTCCTCCCCAGGTCGATTATAGGAAAGGACTCAGAGGGTTTCTAAAGCTCCATTAATTTTTTCTTTAAGACTTCATTAAGGATTCTCTTGCCTTGTAATTTAATTATGAGGGAGAATCTCCATATGTAGTATATTCTTTGTTTATCTTCCATAGTAACTGAGACAGAGTAGTTGTTGCTATCAGTTATCTTTAATTGAGTTACCTCGTTATTAGTAGTAGCGTTAGTTTCCATAGGAATTTGGTAGGGAATGGGGATATGATAGAAATATTTTTTCATGTTTGTTTGCCATTAATTTTTCCCTGAAGGAAGAGGATTCAGTTTCCATTAATGCTAGTTGAGGATTTATGTCTGTTGGTTTTGGAGGGTTTTGTCTTGGTTGATATATTGGGACATCTAGGAGGTCAGTATTGAAGAGTTGGGTGGTGTATGAATTTTTTTTAGAAGTGGGAGTTTCACACTCTAAAGTTTCTCTTGGTTTCGGTTTATAGACTCTGATTTGCCCGTGTGAGTTTAACTGTTATTTCTAAATAGTAGTAAAGTAATAAAGTAATACCAAATCAAAGAGTTCAATTTTTGTATTGCCAATAAATATGGTTTCGTTCCACATTTAATGTCGTCGAAATAATACATAAATTTTTAAATAAGTTATGCGTATTTTAGTTATACATATTTTTACACTATAAACTCAATATTATAATATTAGTTAGCAATGACAAAGTCAGAAAATTCAATAAGGGTGTTCAAATTTTGAACATTCTTTGATAGTGGACTATACAAGGGTGTTCAAAGTCTATTTTTAATCAACAACATGTAATATTTTACCTTATATGTAATATAATTTTTTGGCAAAGGGTGTTCACTTGATCATCCTTGGGCCAACATAGTTTCGCCCCGGTTAGTTAGTTACCAATAATTTTATATCGAGAACCAAACATTAACGTATAGCCATATACTTGAAATTAATTTTCTTACGTGCCAAATTAATTGGTGAAAATAACATGTGCTAGCTATTTTTTGGATTGATAATTGAAAAATAGCCAGCATTTACAAAGTCATTGAAAAATAACCACTATTTTATGCGGAGATAAATTCTAAACAAAAATACCTAGCTGAAATACGGAAAGTACCCGCATAACATGCTGAATGATAGAGCTCCTATGTATAAACTTCTAGCATATTCTGTTGGATTGTGAAATTCCAGCGCATTATGTTGGAATCTCATATATAAAAAAATCATATTTTTTCGGATTGTTAAGGGTGTTTTTGTTTAAATTTTAATTTTACATGTAAAAGTAGCTAAATTTTAATTATTTTTGAAATTCTGACTAATTTTTGATTAGCAGTTACAAATTAGGTTATTTCTGATTTTCCCCCTTTTATTGCAAACAACAATCTAAAACTAAAAACTCTAGAACGGATAAATCTTTATTTTTATAAAAATTATTATAAAGTTTAGGCGAAATACATAGTTTACCCATCCAACTTACACTCAAATCCATGTTACACACTTGTTGACCACAGATATAATTTTACACACCAAACCTTTCAAATGTGTGTCAATTACACACTACCTTTGACCAGCCCCGTTAATATTCAATGTTGTGTATACACGCACTTATTTAAATTAAAAAACAAACGATTCTTTAATTAAAATGGACAAATCGGCCCTTTTTCTTAATTCCGACCCAAAAAAGATCTGACCTTGTTAATTAAAAACAACTCCGCGACAAGATTAACAAACATAATTCCATTTTCAAATCCTTGTTCTTCGGCCCTAACCTTTGAGGTTAGTATTCTTCATTTTCAGGTTAGTATTCTCATTTTAGGTTGTTCAACCGTTTTTATTTAGATGGGTGGATCGAAATAGTTAGGGTTTATTTGGATTTTTCTGAAATTGATTCCTTTTAATATGAAAAAGATTAAAATGATTGCTTTTAATAAGAAGGAGATGAACAATTGGGCGTTAGGGTTAAGAAAATGGGCTCAATTCCAGTAATTAGCCGTTGTAATTTGTCAGATAAGGCAGAAAATAACTTTTCACACGCCGCATTAATCGTGTTTCACACGTCCCAGAGGCTAGTCAAAAGTAGTGTGTAATTGACACATATTTGAAAGGTTTGTTGTGTAAATTATAGCTGTGGTCAACAGGTGTATAACAGGGATTTGAGTGTAATTTGAAGGGGTAAAGTATATATTTCGCCTAAAGTTTATAGAGAAGATTGACAACTAAACTCAAAAGTAGAGGCCAAACTATCAATACTCCTTATTTACCCATCCAAAAACAAGCCGCCGTTTTGCTCCTCTCCAACCTCCCGTTAACGACGCCACAAGCTTAACCACAGAAACCTTTAGCACTACACACTCTCAATGGGGCGGAAACGAAGCAATAACGAAGACGAGGAGAGGGAAAACGAAGAAGAAAAACCCATAAAAAAGATGAAAGAGAATAATGAGGGCAGAGAAAGCATGCGTCCTTCAATGATTAAAAACAAGGAGAAAAGATCAGCTGTACATGCTAAGCTCAAGCATCAGAAGAAGCTTGATAAGCGGAAGAAAGCTAAAGCTCGCGAAGCTGCTGAGAAAAAAGCTCTTGAGCTAGGCGAGGAGGTAAAAATTTGCTGAAAGTTACAATTTTTACTGTTTTTGGGTTTAGGGTTTTGGTGTTTTTACTGTTGAATGCATGAATGAACATTTTGGGGTTGTTTCTTTATGCTAATTGATTAATGGGTCGATGTTATTTTTATGAGTAGGCCGTATAAATTTCAAAAAGATTTGAACTTTAGGGTTTAATGTTTTGACTCTTGATTGTGGGGTTGAACATGTTGGTTTGTTTCTTGATGATAATTAATTAATGGGTAGATGAAATTTCTGTGATCGGACTGCCTAAATTTCCAATATCCGTTTCTTAGGGTTTAATGTTTTTGTTTTGAATTTTGATTTTCCGTTTAAGCATTCTGGGTTTATTCTTAATGCTAAAATTAACTAATGGGTAGATGATATTTTTCTGAACAAGCTGCCTAAATTTCCAATATCCTGTTCTTAGTATTTTTTTTGGATTCTGGATAGTCGGTTGAGCATTTTGGGGTTTTTTCAATGCTAACTAAATAATGGGTTGATGTTATTTTTGTGAACAGCCTCCACCGAAGATGGTACCTCGTACGATTGAGAATACAAGGGAGTTGGATGAGACTATCTGTAGACCTGATGATGAAGAGGTTTTCCCTTATGCTTGTTTTATTTTGTAAATTAACCAGAGCAAAAGATGTAGTTTTATCCATTTGAAGTTTGCCCATTAAATATTTTGGTGTGTCCTATGATTTGGTTTGAAGCTATTTGCTGGCAATGATGTTGATGAATTTAGTGCAATTCTGAGGAAGGAGCGTGATCCGAAAATATTGATTACTACATCCCGTTACAACTCTACAGTAAGCCTGTATTTTGTGTTTCCCTATTGCTTTTTATAGTTGATTTGGTTTTGAACTTAATTCAACACATAATTGGCCATTCCATTTTGCAGCGAGGACCAGCATTTATTTCTGATCTTATTTCTGTGATTCCAAATGCTCATTACTACAAACGAGGGACATATGACTTGAAAAAGGTTTTTACTTGCCTTTTTCTTTTCTCTTTCCGTTCTTTGTCTTGCTTGGTGATATTGTCATATTGACACCCTCATATTATTCAAAGCAAAGAAGTTGTTCCACTGTGCTAGTTTAAGATTTTCATTGCTTCTCTAACTTATTGCAGATTGTCCAATATGCAAATGAGAAGGAATTTTCATCTATTATTGTAGTCCACACTAATCGCCGTGAACCAGGTCATTCTCTCAACCACATTGCTTTTGATTCCTTTAAGTAGCTATAGATTGTACCTGTGCCTTTGTCAGTCTGGATTGCCAGCTTGTGATCTATACCAGCAATCTGATCCATTTGTTAATATTCTTTCTTTAGATGCTCTTCTCATTATTGGCTTACCTGATGGACCTACTGCTCATTTTAAGCTTTCAAAGCTCATGCTACGGAAGGATATCAAGGTTTGGTAGTTCTCCTTCTAAACAGATCCTTTCTCCCCCACCTTTCCTAAAAATGGAGGAAAAGAATAGGAAAGTTGGGTCGCTAACAAACTTATACTTTGATCTAAATGCTGCTAGTATAGTTCTACTTTGCACTACAGGTTACAATTTTATTAGATTCACACAACAGAACCGGGCAAGTGTGAGCTGGTCTCTACGATACTAGTCCATAATTGGTATTTTGCATCAACTGAGTTGTTTGAATTAAATCAAGATATGGAGTTATCTGGCCTCTTAGAAATCACTAACATTTTCAAATAGACAATGTTGTGTCTGATTTTCATGTGGATTTTTAGTCCTCCAAACCACCTCCATGAATCCATTTTTCTCCGTGGTTATTCCTTCCATGGTTCGTCTGTCTTTCTCTGTCCTAAATCTGCACATCCACTTACAAGCTTTATCTTATACACACAGATCTTTCATGCCGAGCCCTCCCCTTCTCTTAGAGGAATTATTTAGGACTTGCTCACTTTATCAAAAGTGGTACTAGTTTATTGCGGATTTCTGCTAGAAGGATCCCACATGAGAATGTGAAAGTAGGGTGCATTCTTTTCTGTTTCCTGTCATTGAGGTTTCTTTTCTTAGTTTGTAGCTACATCTAGGTCATTCATTGTTTGTATATGTATAGTAAGATCCCTTCTATTTTTTCTTGGGAATGAGGCATAATTTTTTGTAAGTGAACTGTCACTAAGAAAATCCTTCTCACAATGATTCTAGTGTTGAGGTTTGTGTGAATCTAAATATAACTTTAGCATGAAATGTTGCAAGTGAGTATGTTGAATTAGTCAATACAACAACCCAGTATAATCCCACTTAGTGGGGTCTGAGGAGGGTAGTGTGTACCAGACCTTACCCCTACCCTAGGGTAGAGAGGCTGTTTCCAAATAGACCCTCAGCATCCTTCCCTCTAAGAACTTCCCACCTTGCTCTTGGGAAGACTCGAACTCACAACCTCTTGGTTGGAAGTGGAGGTTGCTTACCATCAGAGCAACCCCTCTTGTCACGTTGAATTAGTCAATGAATGGGGTTAATTTGAAGCAGAATGTATAGCTAGTAGATGTACGACTAACCACTCCTATATTGCTTGCAGAATCATGGAAAGCCAACAAGTCACAAGCCTGAGCTAGTTTTGACCAATTTCACGACGCGTTTGGGGCATCGAGTTGGGAGGTAGAGTCTCTATGATTTTCCAGGATTATTTATAATCCTCATATTTGTGAGACGGAGTATCAATATATGTCAAAAATTGATATAGTTTTGATAAATTTTACTGGTGAATAGATAGAAATAAGATGAAAATGCTCTGAGAAACTTTAGGTATATACGATTACCTAGGCTAATGTATGTGTCTGTTGATTATGTTCATTTAGGATGATACAGTCACTTTTCCCACAAGACCCTGAATTTCGTGGCCGTCGAGTTGTGACCTTTCACAACCAACGTGATTTCATATTCTTTCGCCATCACCGGTATGCCCTCATTACTCTTGTGTTGATACTGCGATATTCTTCAGTTTCTTAATTTGAACAGTAAGACTCGTGCTAACATGTTTTGCCAATAAACTTATTCCCTTTTGCGAAGCTACATTTTTGAAACCAAAGAGGGCAAACAGACAGAATCAAAAGGTAAGAAAAGCAAGGATGCGAAGAACCCACAGGAAAGGACAATTGCCCGTCTGCAGGTTGGTGGTTCTGTTTCTACTGCGTTGGTTTTAGGAATTCAGTGTTATTTTAAATACCTTAGGACTCTTTTCAACCTTGAATGGAGGCTGGTCACATCTGATGGGTCCGTTCTGGATAAAGGATGACAAATCTTTGATGTTGGATTGGAAAGGAACAAATATCTTTTCTTGTACTACTCTCATGGATTTCTGCTGTAGTTAAACAAGCGTAGGTAGAGTTTGTCTTTCTGGAAACTCTGAGAAAATTTCTGCTCTAAAGGGAAGAACTTAATGGAAAGAAGCCAACAGAGCAGGTGTTTAATATCTCTGAAAAGAATTTTGCATTGACATAAAACTGCATGAGTATTTATGTTCATAGTTTGTACAGCTAAAGACCTATATGCCATACAATTCAAGCCTAAATTTAACAACAAGGATTTCTAGTCGCTGTCCGAATGAACGGAAGAGATTCAATCCTGTTGTATCTAGTTAACTAGGAAATATTAATTGAACCAAAGAATCCGTGAAATAGCTTGGCGATTAGCTACAAATGGAGTCCCAAGTTCTAATCTTATCTTTTCCTTTCCTTTGGGCCTGAGGGGAGGGTGTGAACTGATATCATCTCTTATTTGGTCTTTGTTTTGTCCTTCTATCTGCGAGAGGGAACATTTTGGATGAATGAATATAGTTTTGATTGTGTTCCTTATGTTTTCACCTGCTTTTATTTTCTTCCATACCTTCTTCCAGCAATGGATATATAGCCTGACATTGATTTGGCGATTTACGATTTACAGGAATGTGGTCCTCGATTTACCCTCAAGTTAATCAGTCTCCAGCATGGTACTTTTGATACTCAGGGTGGGGAATATGAATGGGTTCACAAGGTAATCCATGTCGAAGAAATCATGTGCAGTTTATATAAACTTTTTTAACTGGACCTTCTGCTTTTCAGTACCTGTAATGAATTCTTATAGTTTATCGTTAGCAATAAATTCTCTAATCCAGCTTGTTCTATTTCAGCCGGAAATGGATACAAGTCGACGGAGATTTTTCTTATGACATGGTGGGATCTTTTTGTTGAAATTTCAAGGTTTTTGGATGCGAACTATGCAAAAGAAGAATATCAACTCTCTGAGGATGAAGTTCACAATGAAAATTTTGCTCTTTTAATTTAGTATTTTCTTTGGGGAAAGGGGGGGGGGGGGGCGCTTTTATGGACTATTTCCTACAGTAATTTGTTAATTAGGTTTTAGTCTCGGTTTTCACCATCACGAAAGTTGTATGCGACCTTGAACACTACGATGGTTAATTTTAAGGGTGCTGATATGAAGGTTTATTCCTTGTGAAGAAAAGTTATCTTAGTGATACTTTTTGAGTCAGTTTAAAGTTAATGATGTAATTCTGAACAAGCATTATATAGTATATTTTGGTAGAGGTTCATGAAATGAAATGTACCATAATATTAAGAGAATTTTGAAACAAATATGTACTGTTAAACTAACTTCATTTTCCTAGTCTCCCCTTTCATACTTACTATTATTTCCTCTTCTTTGGGAAATAACAAATGGGAAGCTAAATCCCAACCAACAAAGGAAGTAGTAACTGAGATTTGCTTACCAAAAAACTGAGAATTACATATTTGACAACCCTCAGGTACCATATTTCTTAAATAGAATAATCGTATCAATGGAAATGCATAACGTCTTTATATTTGGACGCAAGTCCTACAAAATAGTTCATGTCTTTTAGTACATCTCTTTGAAATGCAAACTATATTAATCTTTCTTCAATACATCATTTGGTCCCTATTTTTCTTCTCTGAATGTGACCTGCATATATTGCTCCTACATTACCTTTAAGCATTACACATTAAAGAACTTTTGACCTGAGTAAATAACCCTGACAACAGGTACAACCTTTCCAATAGATATGAATTGAAGAAGCCTCTGCTAACAATTTTTGCTCATGCTTCAGTAGTAAGACTCTTCTTACTGGTGGCCAATAGGCTTTTTTCTACGAGTACCTGTTCAAAGAAAAACCAAACACAATAGAAAAAGAGAACGGTTTCGTGAGATCACATGCATGCAAGATTACCTGACTAAGGTAGTAACTAGTGCTAGGGGAGCCAGAGATATTAGAAACACTGAAACATGAAGGGAAGGGAAACAAGAGAAGAATACATGAAGAAGAAATTTAATACTTTTTGAGATGATTATACACTATAACAGAGCTCTGTGATTTGAAATCTCTTCACACTTGACATATCTTTTCCACTATCCAACACAACATAAAAATTTGGTCATACAAGAAAAATAAGCGCCGCATAACTTAATGCAGCATTTCATTGGCGTTATTGAAATCCGCCATAGTTAATACACACATAAGTTATGCGGAATTCTATATATATTTTTCTGTGTGCTAGATGTGGAATAACAATACGTGTATTAGCAATACATGCAAAAGGGTAACTAAAGTCCAAAAAGCCTTGCTCCACATAGCAATCCCTATATTATTCTTCACCTGGTAACAATCGCTACATTATTATCCACCGCATAAGCAATTTCTGCATTATAAACCCTGCATAACAAGTTCGCAAACTAAACAACCCCTAAACGTATTAAGATGTATAGATACTTCGGCTCATACACAACCTAGAAGCTTAACAGTCCTCATGATGAAAGAATGGAAAAGTTTGACCACTTGATTTTGAGGAACTAAAGCTGGGCTTGCTTATAATTTTCTGGTATATAAACAACTCATGTTTGCAAATTAGGGGCCTCGGTATTCTCCAATAGTGTACTCAACTTTTGGGTTAATGTCAATGTATCTAACAGTTTCTATATTTTGAACTCATTTTGAAAAACGTTAAAATCCAATAAGGATTTCTATGTATTTTAGATAGATAAGGTAGATAATAGGCACCATAAGAGCAACTCATTCTAAAACAAGAAGCTTTTCCAAGGAAAATTGAATACACCATTCATGCTGATGCAGATACACCATTCACAGTGGTAACATCTCTATGTATCAGTTCGGAAAATGAAGTACAGATACGAGCATACGCAGATACTTAGTTACTTTCATTGTTGGCAGAGCTTAAAAAAGCAAGCCCCTATCAGAGAAAGCCATTGCGGGCTAGCCTAGCTAGCTAACATTTCATTATACACAGCCAGTCTTAATAGTGATGTACAGATGGTTATAGGAGCATATTCGATGTCTATTGAACTCAATTTCTTCACTGCTCCATGCAACATGCTAAAAAATCTAAAGCTCATTGTGAAGTTGGTATGTAGTTGATGAAAGAGCAATAGATAATCAGCACACTCTCACTGAACACCAACACCAAACAATTTCACATGTATTAATCCAACTAAATTAACTGAAAAGTACCATTGGAAATTATAATAACTTGGGACAGCCCAAATCCTGAGATAAGAAATTACCCTCTCAGAACCTTACCAGCAGAGCTCTTGCTCCAAAGCACCTGACTATCGATGATAGTAAGATGTTCATCATCAAGTCGCTTCCATGTTTTAATAGATTTGACAGCTCCCCATCCTCCTTTCCCTGTTTTCTCCAAAGATACTGCTACCATCCTTGCCCTCCTCGACCATCCGTCCTTCCCATACGCATGATATCCAAAGCCTCCAGCATAGCAAAGATTTATGTCCATCAACTTTCCACAAAAATCATTTATGTGATCATGGCCAGTGAATACGGCCTTTACATCACCAGCTTCCACCATAGTGGTGAAGAAGCCTGAATTTATTGAAGCAGAGCTTATGCCTTCTTGTCTAACCCCTGTGAAGTTTGATGAGTCAAAGCTTGCATATTCAGGCAGCGGAATATGAAAGTAGGCAAGGCCTGGAGCAGGAGCCTTCTTAGCACTTGAATTGTACATGTAAGTTTTCTGCATTTGAAAGGTTAGTTGAATTAGTTTTGCTGCTCACAAGTCCGAGCTACAGTGCCTAATAGTGATCACTATAACAGCACAGAACTAAAGGCTTCAGACATTTTGGCAGCACAAGTTCTGGTACCTTAAGCTTCTTAGATGTGCGTTGAAACCAAAGCTGTTGAGAAGGTTTAATCCAACCATAACCAGGGATCCTGGATGGGACAGTAGAGTAGTCTCCACTGTCAAGGAAATATAGATTGAGAACGGATTTATTAGCCAGCTCGGAACCCTCAGTCCCATGGACTTCCAAATTATAATTTCCAAAACCATCAATATCTGGAAATTCACGAGGATTCAGCTGAGATAAGGTATTTTTCATGCCAACAATATGTTTCATTACGCCTTCCCTCGAAAGTGTAGATTCTTGGTCATGATTTCCTAGTATAGCAGCCCATGGTATGTTTGAAGAAATTGCAGGAGCAAAGGCAGCATCCATGGATTTTGCAGCGTCCGTTGCATCATATCCGAAAATGTTGTCCCCTGCATCAGGTAAGTTTATATCCGTTGGTCATGATTTGGCTCTTAGGATGAGTATTGAAACAACCAGCAAAAGATGACTTTTTTAAGTCCTTGGATTTCAGCAAGAATTTGAAATGACTGCTGTAGAAAATGATTGTTCTATACATAAGGTAATGTTAGTGGCTCAATAAGTGATCTCAAACGTGAGATTTGTTTAGGATTTAACTTATGTGCACTGACAGTATCTTACACAGTCAGGTCACTTAAAAGGTAATTGTAGGTAACTCAATTTAATAGCATTGATTAATAAACTAAAACAGTTGTAGTGGTAACACGCTATAGCAAAAGGCTATAGCATTGAGTTCTGATTCCAAATTTGATTCACCATTTACTACGCAACAGCTCGAATGCACTTTAATCCCCCGCTTGCAACAAATAGTTAATAAATTAATGCATTTAGTCCAGAAATTCACAAGCTTAAACAAACTCACATAATAGCAAATGCCAGAGAAGTGTAAAATTTCATCCTCATTCCTATTCATCGAGCAATATTAATACTACTTCCATCCCAACATATGTGATGCACTTTCCTTTTCAGTCTGTCCCAAAAATAATGATAGTTTTCTATATTTAGAAATAATTTAACTTTAAACTTTTCAATTTAGCCCAAATGAGATGATTTATAGTCACACAAATATACAAATATAGATGGCTTGTTTTAGACTACAAGTTTCATAAGTTTCTCCCTCTTAAACTCTGTCTCAGTCAAACAACATCACATAAAATTGTCCGATATAGAACGGATCAGGTTTACTTGTCCATATTTTAAGTCTGTTCACGTATGAATACAAAGCCAAATGTGTAGAAAGAGAGAGAGAGAGAGTATTAGTATTACCGGTGAAAACGATGAGATGAGGTTTCTCGGCATGAATCATACGGAGAATGAAAGCAGTGGTATTAAGATCGGAACAGGAAGACATCTGCTGCGGCAGCACATCCTCACACGGCGTCGATTTTCCATTTCCGTAATGCATATCCGCCACCTGCAGTATCCTAAATTCCCCATTTTTGCTATCAAATCTCAACTTCTGTTGTGGATTTTTTTCTCCAGAAGCTTGAAGCAGTTGCAATGAGCTGAGAAATATTAGCACCAGAAATAGTTTTACAAAATTCTTCTCCATAGAAATGAAATGTGAAGTGTGAAAACAGAAAAGAGAAGGGGGTTTTCTAATAATGGCGAGGTTGTTGTTTGTAGTAATGAATACGGCTATAATTTTCTAGAGTTAATAAATGATCACGAGATGTTTTTTTGTCTGATTCGCGTGACCCGACGACTTGTTTCGGATTCCTTGGAATTATCCTTCTCCTGAAATTCTCCATCTTGTCAGTTTACTCGTGTTGAATGGGTGCTCTTTAAGCCTTAAGTTGTCGTTGAACTAGAATTATTTTAATTTACGGAAAATATATGTGGACCCGACAAACTAAGAATGGCCCAAATGTCCAAAATGGGGTATTATGATAACTTTGCACCGCTTTTGAGGGCATAATGAATATTTAAGTATTTTTGTTTTCCAGATATACCCTTTAGCAGATTTATTTTTTCCCTCCAATTCTCTCTCATTAGTTTAATTGTCTTACCTTCCCCATGCTTCTTTCACATTTACACATGCATCCTACACTATTTTTCATAAAGTAATTTATACTCATATACATATACTATACCAATTAAACGAAATAAACTAAAATATACGCATAGTATACTAAAAAAATATTGTGACTAATGTTACTAAATAACTAGTGTCCATTTAGGCTTAAGCGGTGAAAAAGCTTGGTAACTAAGAGGGTGTTTGACTAAGCTTATAAGCTGGTCCACTTCCCAGTAGGACTTAAAGTCTCTTTATAGAGACCCTATGCAACCATTACACTTTTCAGTAGCCATATCCGCTCCTCCATGCGGATATTACACATCCTAGCAGCCCCTTCCACTCCTCCATGCATCTATTACACTTCTCAGTAGCCCTTTCCACTCCTTCATGCAACCATTACACTTTCCAGTAGAGGTGGGCATCGGTTGGTTCAGTTCGGTTGTGAATTTATCGGTTTTTCATATCGGTTATCGGTTTATAAATATACTAAACCGATAACCGAACCGATAAGATATCAGTTATCGGGTATCAATTAGTTTATTAATCCTTATCGGTTCGGTTATCGGTTTATCCGATAAGAATAAAAACTATCCAAAATTTTATTATAGAAATCGTGACCATACTATTAAGAGAAAGGAATTGAATTTTTTCTCTTAAGAGAAGAGGGATTAAATTTCAACTTAGAAAATAAAACTTTCTTTGCATTTGAAAATCTCATTCATTTACAAAGTTATAACTTAATAGGAGTAAGGAATAAGACATATAACAATCTAATCTTACTAACTATCTCACTGGGGGTGGACATAATTCATAGAAAAATAATAAAATCTTAATCTTGTAAATACTAAAGAATCAGTACAACAAAAGAAACAAATAGAAAAACTAAAATTCTGAACAGTTAATTCTCTAAAGTTTAAAACTAAAAATCTTAATTGAAAAATTAAAATGAGAAATTCAGAAAAGTTTAAAACTTACTCTAAGGATTAAGGTCAGAAGATGAAGAGTAACTACCGAGAGAATTGAGAGAATAAAGCTATAAGGTAGTTTTATATACTTAGAAGGTAAAATTATAATTTTGATAAAGCTTATTAGGCTATCGGCTAAACCGTTAATAAAATTGGGCAAATCGAGACCTGAACCGGTAACCCATTAGTCAAATAAAATTAAACTGTTATCGAACTATTTACTCAATAACCCGATACCGATAACCCAATAGCATTTTATCGGTTCGGTTTATCGGTTATACCCGATATATGCCCCGCCCTACTTTCCAGTAGTCAATTTCACTCCTCTATGCACCATTACACTCCTCCATGCAACCATTACTCTCCTCCATGACTACAATTAATTATAGATGTGTGTCTTTATCCATCCGCCTATACAGATTTTGGAATTTTATTATATTTTTTTAACTTCTGCCATATAGTGGCAGTGCACTTCAAAGATTTTGGATTTTTTTTTTAATTTTTTTTTAAATTTCTGCCATATAGTGGCAATGCACTTCATAGGTTTTATCTCATAGTCTTAACCTTAAGCTTGGTGGTTGAATTCTAATTAATAACGGATCTGTCTCCAAAATTTTATATTGATAAATATAATTTTTGATTTTCGTGTTGATTTTTCCACTTCTCTATGAACAAATTAATGTCGATTTTAAACTTTTTTAAAAAAATAATGTTCCTAATCTTGTTCTTGGATGTAAAATGATAGAAAAAAATAGGGGGACTTCTGCACTAAATATATTGTTAAATGATTTCTCAATTTTAATTGGCTATTTTTAAATCAATAGTCTTCTTAAAATAAATAAATATAACAATAATAAATGGAAAAAACACAAACAATATTATAAGGAACAATCATATTAATCCATTACTTTGATCCATTTGAAGTCAGTACATATAACTAAAGAGAAGAAATTATCAAGCTAAGCATTAGTTTGTCCTAGCACTTCAACAAAGAAGATCACAACCCCTTGTCATGACCCTAAAACCGACCCGGTCGTGATGGCGCCTATCGTGAAACAACCAACATAACTCCCAAATTAACCATTAATCAATATAAATCATTTTTAAGCTTTTATTTAATCCAAATATCTCATAATGTAAGTCTAATTGAACAACGCGGAATAAATACACAAGCCCGACATCGGGGTGTCACAAGTCATGAGCAACTACTAAGGTCTGAAAATATACTAAAACAATCTAAGGAATATAAGAGGGAGAAGAGCAGGGCTACGAAAGTCGGGCAACTTCCTTGCTAACTCCAATGACTCTGCCACTGAGCAATCAACATCTGCTACCGGGTTCAGAAATACATGAATCTGCACACAAGGTGCAAGGAGTAATGTGAGTACGCCAACTCAGTAAGTAATAAAAGTAAATGAAAGTTGAGCAGTAAGAAAACACGTAAGCCACGTCAACACGCTACAACAAATGCAGGACATTTCCAAAACAGTACAGAAATTATTGACTTTGTAAATCAAGCTCAGTTTCAGTAAAAACCTTTGAAAATAACTTTCAATAGTTTTAAACGAGTGATAAAACAGTGAGTGAAAATGATAGAAAATGTAGACAGCCCCTCGGGCAAAACATGTACCATAAATCGCCCCCGGGCATAATATCAACAGAACCAGCATCACTCGTAATCAGCCCCTCGGGCATAACATGAATCAAGAACCGCCTCTAGAGCAAAACATGGATCAAGAACAACCCACCGGGCAACAAAATAAAACAACAACAGCCCCTCGGGCTCCATCATATCACTCATACTAGGTACCCGCGTTCACTGGGGGTGTGCAGACTCCGGGAGGGGCTCCTTACAGCCCAAGCGCAATATCAAGCCATCTCGTGGCATAATCAAACAGGCACTCGGCCTTATAAAAAGCCACCTCATAGCGTAACAAATCAGGCCCTCGACCTCATAATCATGAATCAGTACAACACTGCTGCGACGCGCGACCCGATCCCATAGTATCCTCATAACACAGGCCCTCGGCCTCACTCAGTCAGAAATCTCTCAAGCCACTCGGGCAACAGTAAAACATGATGCTCAACCCAAAATATCATTTAAAATATCAAAGCAGAGTAAATATGGCCGAGTTATGAAAACAGTAGAATACAGCATGACTGAGTACAAATATGAAGTCAAAATAGTGAGGAATAGTAGTAAATATCCCCTAAGGGTCCAAAACAATTAGCACGACGCCCAAATATGGCATTTAGCCCAAAACATGATGATAGCAAACAATTTTTAGTCAAATACGCAGTTTAATAGTTATACGGGACAGACTAAGTCACAATCTCCAATGGTGCACGGCCCACGCTCATCATCTAGCGTGTGCGTCACCTCAAAGTAGCATAATGATGTGAAATTCGGGGTTTCATACCCTCAGGACGACATTTATAATCATTACTTACCTCAACCCGGTCCAAACTCTAGCCGTGATACCTTTGCCTCTCGACTCGGCCTCTGAATGCTCCAAATCTATCCAAAAATAGATTTATACCATCTTAATATGCTAAGGGAACAAATCCCACTCGAAAATAATCAATTTACATCAAAAATCCCGAAATTGGCCAAACCCGACCCCCGGGCCCACATCTCGGAATCCGATAAAAATTACATCAAATAGAATCCTTATCCTCTCACGAGTCTATATATACCAAAATCATCAAAATCTGACATCAAATCCCCAAAAGAATTCTCAAACTTTTCTCCCATTTTCCTCTAATTTTCACTCTAATTTCTCAAATTAAATGATGAAATTCAAGACTAAATCATGGAATTAAACCAAATATGAATGAAGAATACTTACCCCAATTGCTCCACTAAAAATCTCCTCAAATTTTACCTTCTCCCGAGCTCTCCAATGGCTTTTGTGATGTTGGACTTAAACCCTCGATTTTTAAATATAAACTGTCTGCCCAGATATTTTCTTCATCGTGAACGCGGCAGCACCCTCCGGTTCACGAAGCACAAAGCTTCGCTAACCAAAATTCTCTCATTCGCGAACGCGAGGGCCTACCCGCGAACGCGATGACCACACAGCTCGACCCTATGCAAACGCGAAACACCAATTGCGAACGCGTAGGCCTAATTACCTGAACTCCACATGATAGTAGACTCTATGCATATGCGGAACCTATATTGCTAACACGAAGAACAACTTGATTGCCCCTCTCATTAACCCTTCGCGAACGCGAAGAAGGATTTCTCTGCAACAAAATACCAGAATATCTGTCAAGTCCAAAGTCCAAAAATTGATCCGTTAACTGCCTGAAACATATCCGAGGCCCTCGGGACCTCAACCAAACATGCCAACATAACTCATATCATCATTCAAAATTGTTACGGCCTTCAGAACGCTCAAAACAACATCAAAACATCAAATCACCCTCGGATTCAAGCCTAAGAATTTCAAAACTTTCAAATTCCGCTTTCGATCAAAAAGTCTATCAAACCTCGTCCAAATAACCTAAAATTTTGCACACACGTCACAAACGACACAACGGATCTACTCCAATTTCTGGAATTCCATTCCGACCCTATATCAAAATCTCTCTTATCAACCGAAAAACGCCAAAATTCCAATTTCGCCAATTCAAGCCTAAATCTACTCCGAACCTCCAAAACACATCCCGATCACGCTCCTAAGTCCCAAATCAC